AAATAAAGTGTAATTTATCATTAAAGCATGTAAAATGCAAGGCACATAATGTACAAAACTATGAAATTATAGCCACACACCAGTATATATGCATATCAAAAAATTTGAAACAATAGTTAAAGTGTAAAAACTGAATCATACGCTACCTAACTTAATCACTATATTGGTTAGATATTGATTCAATACATAGGGTAAATTTTATTATGCGAACGCTTCAATTTAGCTTATGATCATTGAGAAGAACCTAATATTTTATAATTGATCATAAGAACCTAATATTATTCCATGTTCTTTCGGATATTTGCTAGCTAGTTTGATAAATGGATATGAATCATGTGATTAGTAACCAAATTATTTTCATATAGCACAATTTTAGTGTTACGATGTAAAAAAACAAACAAACTGAAATTTAATCAAATTGAACAAAGCATAAACGTGTGTGAGTTTATCCTACATCGGTTGTTGGATAGGAATTTAATTTGGTCTCTTTATATAATTTTGAGTAATCTTCATCGTGAAATTACAAGAGGGAGGCGAGGGGGTGAATTGTTGATTTTTCTTTTTGTACCCTAAATAATTGACTAGTTTACTAATTAATCAACTGAAGGTAAGAACAAAATATAAATAAAGCAGAAATAAAATACAGGAATTAAAGACACCTGGATTTTTATACTGGTTCGGATTCAATGTGAATCCTATTCTTTCTTTCAGTATTTGAAGTTTCTCGATACAAGAGAGTTGATATAGCTTTACACCAACAGCTTAGTTACTATCTCACTTCTCGCTTCTTGATACAATGCCTCACTAGTATTTTTTTCTTTTTCTACTCACTAATTACACAACAGATCTAACGTAAATTACAATATTTGTTTGGAGTAGAACAAAAAGAGTGATAGTGATTCGTTCAAAGTATATTTCTTCAAAGCTGGTGCAATGGGTATTTATACTTTATGAGGCCTTCATGTCTTGTGAGTCTTGAGCAATTGCAAACCCAAGGGAGTTGATCTGAGAAGGAATCGTAGATTCATTCTTTCCAAGTGTAGAATATTTCTTCTGTTGATTTTTCTTGACTTGTGGTCTTGTTTATTTCTTCCTTTGTTGAGTGGATATTTCTGTTATTGGAAATATCAAATCAAATCCCTTGATTTCTACCTTGATTGACGTCCTTATATGGAGGAATCTTCAGTGCATAATTTCATGCCCTTGATCTCCTTTGATTGAAGTCCTTCCTATAATACCCTCCTTGATCTCATACCAAATCCTTGATTGATTTTGCCTTTGATTTTTCGCTACTCCTTCCTTTTTCGTCTGAATTCTTCTATGTCCCTTTTCCATTGCTTAAGGATTGTTTCTGTACATAAAGAATAATTCGTTATTTTGCATCATTAAAATCAACTTAGATCTAACAATATCCACTTTTTTATGATGACAAAATAACAATGTAATAGCCTCAGTTTACTTCCATGTTTATCAGTTGACTTTGAGTGTGTTGTAGTCAACTCCCCCTCAAACTGTGTTTCTTGTTAGATGTGTCTAGTCGACTCCCTTTCAGCTGGACATTCTATTATGCAGTGGTTGTAGTCGACTCCCCCTCAGTATTATACTGTATGATGTACCTGCAAGTTAAACATCTGCAAGAAAATTTACAAAACAACCACATTGAATAGGGAATACAGAGGAACACGTGCCCATAAGCCTGCTTTTTCTCCCTCTTTGGCATCAACAAAAAGTTATAACCTACTTTAGCATACAGAACAGAAGTAATTGTCCTAATAGTACAACCTATGACTGAACCGTCAGTCTCAAAAGAAGCAAAATAAAAAAAATTACCTTAAACAACCATGCATCAACATCGCAGAAAGTAAGTATGGGTATTGCAAATAGCCTCCTTGAGGCGATCAAAACTTCCATTCACTATGACAGAGATTCCATCAATTTTGTCGTGCACCTCTTTAAAAGTCTTTACTATTTTTTCCGCAATCTTACGAATTTGCACTCGGATCTTGGACACGTCAGAGCCTGTCTCCTTTACCACTCCATGGACATCTTCAATTGTGCTTTGCATTAAGGTTAAAGAGTCCTTGATGACAGTTAATTTTTCATTGATGAAGGCTATCTTTTCTAAAAGATCAGGATTACCAATACTGGGAAGAGACACAGAGGTTTTCGCTTTTGAGTCGGAGGGGATATTCTTGGATTCACCTTCTTGCTTCTTTACCCAAGCTCCTTTTACAGAAATATATCACATGCTAGCAAATCCCCTAGAGTTGTAAGACTTGGTGACAGTGATATAGGGATAGTCGACAAGAGATATGTTGTTGGCTTCTAGCAGATGGGTGGTGACCATACCATATGGAAGACTCGTGGGATCATCGGCACTCTCTATCATAAAATTGATAACCCAAGAAAACAACTTGACCTTATGTTTAGTCAGAAGATAGTAAATTAGGAAGGTATCAGGGAGAAAGTAGAGAAGGATCATGTTCTTGGAAGAAGAGTGGTTGCCACAATATGTGCTAAGACATGAGTTTCAAAACAAACATCACTAGGTCCTAGTTGACTGGGAAGGGAATCAGAGGGTGACTCAGCTATACACCTTTTTGCTTGATCAAAAGAAATTTTAAAATCCTCAGGCTAGGTATTCTTAAAAATCATAGAGAAACCAGAACAACTACACTGAAAAATAGGGTCAAACAGAGCACAGTCCAACACAATGCGTTTGCCAAGAACTAAGGTTTCTAACTTGTCAGGTTTGCTAAAGCGAAGATTAGCATAGAACAGTTTAACAAGGGGTTCATATACCTCTGGAGGAGGCAAGCAGAGAAAGTTTTTCCATCCATGGGCTACATGCTTGTCTTTGAAAGCAATGAAGTCATCCTTGTTGCGTGTGTCCCAAAAATTTAGGTCAGACTCGAGAGAACTTCACATATCAGTTTTAGGATTTTTGGGAGTGAAGGTTTCAGGGGAATCTTCCATGGGTCGTTTTCCTAGGGTTTTTTTGTTGAGACTGCATGCACCATCTGAGAGGTCTTGAGAAGAGGCAAAATCCTCAGAGTGGTCTGATCCTAGATTAACTGGCTTAGAAGGTTGAGAGGAGGGTTTTGCTCTAGAATAAGTGCTTTTGCGGATATTCCATGGGTCGTTTTCCAAGGACTTTTTCGTTGAGACTGCACGCATCATCTGAGAGGTCTTGAGAAGAGGCAAAATCCTCAGAATGGTCTGATCCTAGATTAACTGGTTTAAGAGATTGAGAGGAGGGTTTTGCTCTAGAACGAGTGCTTTTGCAGGTTGAAGCAGAGGGATTTTTGTAATTTTTCGCCATAGTAGGGTTTGGAGAAGAGGAATGGAGATACAAATAATGTGAGAATGATTGATGAGACTTGGATTTAAAAAGATGATAACTGGCGGTTGAGTACAGACGAAAAGGCGTCAGTAATTCGACGCTATGATTTATTGATTTCTGAAAAGGCATGAAAATGTGTGAAAAAGGAAAAGTAAAAGACACACAATTAATGCCCTACACACATAAGGAAATATACAGATTGAGTGACGGTAAAAATAAAAAATATCACAAAGGCCTTAAAATTATGAATTAATGGAAATAATGCCAAAAGAGTCTCGTAATGTACATAATCTGTTTTCAAGCAAGGGTTTTGTAAAAATATCTGTTAATTGATCAGTAGAGCTTACAATTGATAACTCTATGTTACCTTTAAGAACACGATCTCTAATAAAATGATGTTTAATATCTATATGCTTAGCTCTAAAATGATGCACAGGATTTTTAGACCGACAAATAGCACTAGAATTATCACAGAATATTTGAACAGGTTTAAAAGATAATTCATAGTCACCCAATTGATGTGACATCCATAGTAATTAAGCACAATATTGTCCAATTATAATGTACTCTGCTTCAGTTGTGAAAGAGCTATTGATCCCTATTTCTTACTGTTTCGGGAGATTAATGCCTTATCCAGTAATTGACAAGTGCCACTTGTGCTTTTTCTATCTTCCTTGTTACCTGCAAGATCAGCATCTGAAAATCCCTCAAGTTTAAAATTGTTAGAGCATGGATACCAAAGTCCATAAGAAGTGGTCCCAATGAGATAGCCAATTATTCGCTTTACTGTAGTTAAGTGTGACTCCTTAGGAACTGACTGAAATCTGGCACATTTACAAATACTGAACATGATATATGGTCTACTAGTAGTTATATATAATAGAGATTCAATCATTCCACGATACTTTGTATCATATACTGATTTTTCTTGTTCATCCTTGTCTAAACTTGTAGAGGGGCTCATAGGAGTTCCAATTGATTTGGCATTGCTCATTCCAAACTTTTGAATCAATTCCTTCGTATATTTGGCTTGGCAGATGAATTTCGCACTTTCTGATTGATGAATTTGGAGTCCAAAAAAGAATGTTAGCTCTTTCATCATACTCATTACGAACTTGTCACACCTTATTTTTTCGAAGAATAGAGGAGTTTTTTCCAATTAAAGTGACATTATTCGAAATGAGATTATTTATTTAATTCAGAGTCGCCACTT